CTCTGCACCATGGCAGCTATGCCATGGAGTACCACAGGGCTCCATTTTGTCCCCTTTGCTGTTTAACATCTAAATGAAACCGCTGAGAGAGGTCATCAGGAGGTGTGGGCTGCGGAATCATCTCATTTTCCACTAATCCAGGTGAGGCAGTGGCTGTGCTAAACCGGTGCTTAGCCGAGGTAATGGGCTGGATGAGAGCCAATAAACTGAAGCTCAATCCAGACAAGACGGAGGTCCTGTTGGTTGGCGGATCGGGCTTTGGAGAGGGTGGATTTGACCTGGTCCTGAATGGGGTTGCACTCCCTCTTAGGGACAAGGTCTGCAGCTTAGGAGTACTCCTCGACCCGGAGCTTTCATTGGAAGCTCAGGTGACAGCGGTGGTGAGGAGCGCTTTCCTTCAGCTTCGGCTGATTAATCAGCTGCGCCCCTACCTGGAGTACGACTGCCTGGCGACGGTGACACACGCGCTGGTGACTTCCCGCCTTGACTTCTGTAACGCGCTTTACGTGGGGCTCCCCTTGAAGACGGTCCGGATACTTCAATAGGTTCAAAATAGAGCTGCCAGGTTGCTGACAGGGACAGGGCGTTATGTTCACATGACTCCAGTCCTCCGACAGCTTCACTGGCTTCCCATTGAAGTCTGGGCCCAATTCAAGGTGTTGGTTATGATCTATAAAGCCCTAAACGGCTTGGGACCTGGTTACCTGAAGGAGCGCTTACATCCATATATGCCCGACCGCCCCTTGAGATCTGCGGGAGAGGCCCTTCTCCGGGAACCCTCCGTGAAAGAAATTAGGAGGGTAGGTACTCGGAGGAAGGCTTTCCCTGCGGTGGCGCCCAATCTATGGAATGTGCTCCCCAGAGAGGTCCGCCTGGCGCCATCATTATTTGTTTTTCGGCGCCAGGTGAAGACCTTTTTATTTAAACGTCATTTTAATTGTTAACAATATTTATTTATTTATCTGGCCAGGGCGACTTCTTTTTGTTTCTTTTATAACTTTTCTTTTATAACTTCTTTTATATCGTTTATATTTTTTATTTATTTTATATTATTAATTTTAATTTTATATTGTTATTTTTGTATTGTATGGTATTTTATTGTGTTGTAAGCCGCCCCAAGGCTTCGGCAAGGGGCGGCATAGAAATGTTCTAATAATAATAACAACAACAACAACAACAACACATGGGATGCCGTTTGAGGGTTTTTTCCTCTTCAAGTAAGCCATGCTGCCTGGGTTCAGATGACATGACAAGCTACAGTCACATGGGTGATTATGCAAATCATGCCTCATATGCACTACAATTCAAACTAGCCACCATAGCTTGTTTAACCCATGATGATTGTACAAACCAAGTGGATGAGTGCTCAAAGATTTAAAGCCATAAAAACAGTTTAAAAAATTATCTAAGCACTGAAACGGTTTTTGAAATGTGGTAATGTGATTTTGCTATACAAGTGCATTCTATCAGGTAAAAACTAAGCATAGGTGAGTTGCAGGGTCAGGCAGGTGGGGAGAAAACTTACCATGACTGTTTCCACTTTGAAACTAGTTATGCTAAGCAGCCTTAAACAAGCAGTCCACACAAAATTTGTTTTACAGTAGCTCTCAATCATCTAACAGTAGGGATCACACATCACATTTTACAGTTATTCATAATAGAAATAATGAAAAACACAACCTGTACAGAAACTATATACAGTGGTACCTCGGCTCACAAACGCCTCAGTTCACGACCAAATTGGGTTGTGAGCAGAAATTTCATAAAAATGTTGCCACAGGCCACGAACTCTGCATTGGGTGAACTCTGCATCGCGAGTGCTCCTGCCTTTCCTGCACGGGTGTGATCGGGGGGAGATGGTCGCAATTGCGCATGTGTTCCCTGCCTGAGCATGCCCGTGACCATCTCCCACCGCGCCCACCTCCCCCCCAGCGTGCGATCGCACCCATTTCCTCCCACCCCCCCACACAATCGTGGGGGCGGGGGGGAGATGGCCTTGATCTTTTTTGTTCTTTGTCACTTTGCTTCAAATTTTTGTGAGTAAAAAGAATAGTTGCAGAACGGATTAACCTTATTTACATTGACTCTTATGGGGAAATTTGACTTGGCTCACAACCAATTTGGGTCACGACCAGAGTCCTGGAACAGATTAAGTTTGTGAGCCAAGGTACCACTGTATGTCTGCCCAAGTCCACATAACTGAAGGCACAGCTGCTGCAGAAATCGTCTGAACATGCACATGATCACTCTTTAAGGGTGGAATCCTATCATACTCATGTCAGATACTCACAAGCCTCCAAAGGTTTCAAGCACAAGGCACTGCTGCCATGCCTAACACTCTAACATTTATCTAGATGGCAGTTTTTGGCTGTCAAGAGTTAGGGCCAGAGAGGAGAGAGAAGGCAGCTGAGGTGCCAATTGGAAACAGCACAACTTCCTGGCCACAGCCTTCTCCCTCCCTTCCCTGCTCTCCTTTCCCCCCTTCAAGGTCTAGTTGTGACCTGAGGGGCTATTGGAGCCACCCTTTCCATGCAGGTTGTGAGGGGTGGGGCAGGGTCTTGTCCTTAGGAGCCTGAGGACCAAGCTAGGAGAATCTTGGTGTTCAGACGGAGAATTGACAATGTGAGGAAATAGGAATTCACTCTAAATGTATTTAAGATTGACCCTTTCTGTTGAATATTGGTGGAACTGAGTTGAACCAGGGAGCTTACTTACTCATTGCACAAAGACTTCCCACACACTGGTAGGTATCATGTGATGACAGAAATGTGGAACCCAAATCTACCCTAAAATGCCCTGAATTTAATTACACAGCTTAGGCTGACAGACTATCCAAATATCATTGTAGGCTCCGCTGCTGACCCAGTGTGATCCTATTAGGCTCACTAATGGGGAAGCTTTGACTCTTTCTACATGCATTCTATAGGGCATTGATCCCATCATCCTAAATGACATTGTACAACTGTGCTGCAAGAAAGATATTTCTGATTTGATGAAAAGCCATAGCTCTAATTAGAACAGCTACTCTGATTTGTGAAATAATTATTGCAAGGAGGTGGGATATAATGGGGAAAAGATAGTAATTTCTTGGGAAGTGTTATACAATCACAGAGACACGGCTACTGTCAGTTTTCTTGAGGCAGTGCTCCTGCATTATTTAGTAGATGAACAGTGAATCCATTGTCTTGTTTGTGTGCAATTTTTGCCCTCTGTGTAGTTATAAAAAACAGAAAAAGTTCTCCCAGTTTAAAACAACGTGCCAACCCTATCATGGAAAATAAAGAAGTCTGAAGTCAAACTATCTTTGACAATTAGCATGTACTCATATGAGCTGGCATGCTTTGGTGCTAGAAAAAGGTTAAAGGGATCAGCTTATATTCAAGTCTTCTCAGTATAATGCCAGGGTTTTGTGGACATACAGCACAATCCTGTGCATACCTAATCAGATGCAAGTCCCATTATGTTCAGTAAAACTTACTCCTAGTTAAATAGATATAGGTTTGCATCCATGCCCTCTGTCACAGGAGTGGGTAGCTTGTGGTCTCCCACATAGTAGTTTGTTCTGTAGCTCCCATCAGTCCTAGCCAGCATAGTTAGGGGTGAGGGATGATGAAAGTGGGGTGCTGAAACAACTGGTGGGCCAGAAGTTGAGTAGAATTCCAAGGAGAGGTGTGGGAGAGATCAAAGAACATGAGGAAGATTTAGGAATAAGAAACCCACAACTTTGCAGTCAAAGATGGCAAATTCTCCCCATCACCACCACCCTGAAAGGACACCCTCACAGAAGACTCTGAATGGGAATCAGAGCAGTGATGATTGGAGAGTGGAGATGGTAGTGGGAAGAAGGGAAAGAAAGGAAACTGAACAAGCCAAGATGAGTTGGTAGCTAATAAAATCCATCATGCACCCAACAAATGGTTGAGCTCACAGTGGGTTGTTGACTTCCTCCTTCCCCCTTGGACCTCCTGCAAGTCTTGAGGATACTGCTAACTCAGTGGGAGGTCAGCAAAGCTTTTATCTACAGTTGAATTATCAGTTCTGCTTCTCATAAAATAAATGTTAAAAGGAGCAACAAATCATTCTGAACTATCGTATAACTCAATTTGCTACTTCTCCAGCTGCACAATTTTATCAGGAGATGCAGCATGCTAAATATGAATTGAATTATAATATTTCACAGCAGGCAGAATTTGCTTTAGCCTGTTTGAGGCAGATATATTAAAAGAATAGCAAATGCCTCTGTAAAGTGTTGGCCCATCAGCTCAAACAGCAAAAAACATTTAAATATTATTTTGGCAATTAAAGGCCCAGTGCATGTGAGAATCTGAAACTGAAGGGCTCAGTTCCAAACTTTCTGACCAGTATGAGACATATTTCACTGTATGTGATAATCTGGTACACTGAATTAAAACCTCATATTTTGAATCATACTCTTACTGCTTGCAGTGTTTAATGGTTGAACAACATACTGCCACACAGACACTGAAGCTTCTGACTCTGAGATCTTATAAATAAACATCAATTCCTGATGTTATTCACTGACATCATGAAATGAACTTGAGGCTGACAGTGAATGCCATCAGCAGAAGAGGGCAAAATGCCCCTGATACACATTTATGGAACAACTTTCAGGCATCGGTTACAATCTTGGACATATTTTCCTGGGATCAAATTCCACTGAATTAATGGCAGCTGTTTCTGAATTATCATGCACAGGAAATGTTTTACATGCAATTTTTACAAACGTAAGCAGCATGGATGAGAGGGAGGGAGAGAATGTGTATGTGTATGCATATGTGTGTGTATGTGTATGCATATTTGTGCATATGTGTATGCATATGTGTGCATATGTGTATGCATATGTGTGTATGTGTATGCATTTTAAGCTTTGTTAAACTATTGAGTTTTCTTTCTTCTCTTAGAAGATGAGCTGATTACTGACATGATTACCTAGACTAGACTACAGTAAACTACAGACAGCAGCAATGAACTATTCCTACCAGTCCTGAACAGCATTGAAGGACTCTTCACAAGTAATATCATACATAAGGATGAATCCCATGGCTCCTCGGTAATAGGCAGTAGTGATGGTCCTGTACCTTTCTTGTCCAGCAGTGTCCTAAACAAATAACAAATAAAATTAATTAGGCATTTAGGCAGTAAAGGCATCATCCTATGCATGTTTAGATGGTGTAAAGGCCGGAAGTTGTAGGCCTTTCTGCTGCCTAAACACGTATTGGCTTTTACCCTCAGTATATGTATTCTCACCAACTCACCAATAACATGAGGGCCATTTCATGTATTAACCTTTCCTTTCCTTTCCTTTCCTTTCCTTTCCTTTCCTTTCCTTTCCTTTCCTTTCTGAAGAGGTAATGTTGGGAAAGCATGAATTTTCTCTTCTTTCAGCATACAGTGTCCCTGGGTTGTTTAGCACTCTCGCTCACAACAGGAATGATTAGGCTATCACACCCACTTGTTCAACAATCTAGAACAATAATTGTTGTGAGTCACCCAAAGAGGTTTGGCTATTGGGTGTTACAGAAATGAAATAATTAAATAACAACCCAAGGTTTTAAAAAATCTGGGTTGTTGTAACATGTGAACTGGGCCATACTATGCAGGAGCACAGTTGATTGTCAATGCTGCATGCTTCTACTGACCTAATCTTGTATTTTTGCATACCTAGGTCTGCACTATACAACAATAAACCTGCAATATAAAATAGCAAGGGAGAAAGGGAAGCAGGACCACCATCAACTGCTGAGATGTTGGTTCCACCAGATTCGTCCCTCCATTAAGTCAGGCTGCAGCGGAGAGAGGGCTTTTCCACTGGCCCTGCTGAGAGACCTGTTCCATCAGGCCCCTCTTCCTTCCAGTGTCATCTGTCAGAAGCCATTCCATCAAGCTGAAGCAGAAGTGATGATGAGAACTGTGAGTGAGATCCCTGTCCCGTTATTGCTCTAACTGTAAACCACTTTGGGAGCCTTTTTCAACTGAAGAGTGTGGTAAAAATTCTTCCAATAAATAAAAGGGGAAATAATGCTGTCAGCACTATGCTCAGCTCAGCACTATGGGCAATTATTTTAATGGAGGCATTTATTCCTGGGGGGTGGGGGTTGGTATTATTTATTTCATATCCTGCCTTTTAGGTAGGTGGAATGGCTGGTCTGGGGTGCCAGAATGAAGCATTCAGCCCTCTTTGGGTCACCTTGGCTTAGTAACAGACTTTGAGCTTTTGAGCTTTTTCGTGCCTTTCTAAGTGTTCTTGTTTCATCTCTGCCTGAACATACCTGTTCAAATGCTTCTGCTAGGGAAATCGATCCAGCCTTAGCACATCACATAATACTCTTGTTTTATTGACAACAGAGACAAGATGTTTTGAGGGGAGCGGCACAAGCAGCCAGGTGTTACTCCCGTGGGCAATTACTTACCCAGAAGGATTGTGTCTGAAATTGTTTAATTCCAGATGTTGCACTTTGTTTACCATCTCATATGCTTATTGATAGCTGTTCCCATTGGCATATATGCAGAAGTTGTGTGAGCAGTCTCATGCAGCCATCAGTAATAGACAGCATGAGTAATGCAACCACGAAAACAACCTGAGATGGCACCATGGCAGTGACATCCAGAACAACAGTTGGTGCACTTCCATGTATGAGTGGAAGGCAGGACGGGAGGAGAGATGAATTGGTTCACTACAAGTTCCAGGATGGGGTGGATGGGGGGAGTGGGGACTGAATCATGGTATTCACCTATCTGCAAGTGAGCCTGGATTTTTCCAATATAAAGAGAGACCATAACCAAAGTGCTTAGGGATCTACCTGCCAGTCATAATACTATGTCATTTCCCTCAATATTAGTGAAAGTACAATACATGACCCTTCTCTTCGGCCCCCAGTCACATCCCATATGTTTTAATGTTACAGTGGGAGAATTGGCACCATTTGTTTGTTTTTATCCAGGCTTTCCACCAAGTTGCTCCGGGCACCATACAAGATTCCTGTCCTTATTTGATTATCCTGACCATTCTGTGCTACAGGGGGTAGGGCCAGCATCAATGGCAGACATGGGCAGACATCTGCCAAGGGCCACGCTACAGCAGGACCAACTGATACATGTCCCCTGGAGTTGCTCTTCCTTTTCATTGCAACCTGTCTCTTTAGCTGCCTCTTGCTCAGGCACAGACAACGGTCATGGTGCAGAGGAGGAGGAGATGCCACTGCCAATGTGCTCAGTAGTTCTCTGCCTGTCAAGTATGCAAATGATATAACAAAGAGAAAGAAGGGCACCAGTAATAGCAGCAACAGTGCCTGGTGACAATGGCAGTGAGACAGTTAACTGGTTAAGAAGTGGGCCTATTGCCCCAGGGCCTCAAAAACTTGGAGCCAGCACTGCCTTGGGTGAATGACTAGCTCAAGGTTTGTCTCATAGCAAAGTAAGGACTCCCATCTGAGTCAATATAATCAACACCTTGGCAGTCTTATTGCTTTGACATGGCACACCTCTAGAGTGTTCTGATAACCTACTGGCACAAAGGCAGGGAATAGAATAATTCCTGCCTTGAGGTGCATTCTGTGAGTTCTTTGGGTTGCTTTGAGTATTAAGCATACCAATATTCTTTCACATTGTTCTGTGACTGCAAAATCACAGGGCCTTCATTGGCCTTAAGGGAAAAAAACATAATCAAAATTAGGTGGGGAGGAAACCCAAAGTAATTAAGAACAAAACACATATCATTTTCTGACAAACATAACCCCTTGTTGCAGTGGAAACATGCTAGAAAGTCACTCTGATAACCATATCATTGATTAGTGGGGAGTGGAAAACAATTTCCTAGTATGTGGCAGTAACTACGCTTGATCTCCTTACTACTACTCCAACAACATGAAATAGAAGAGCTATAGGCAGCACCTGGAAGTGATCTTGAATGAGCATTGAGAAGAAAAAGGACACTTTTAAAACAAGTGGATAGTCCTATTTGAAAGTGACCATTTAAAATGGATGCAATTAATCTTGTCAGTGTTTCTGAGACCAAACTGGAGAGATAATAGCTTGAAAACAATTGAGAATTACTGGGATAGATCATATAAAAGCTCTGTGACATGGTTATAGCTCCAACTCTTGTCTTTAAAGTTATCCTCAAACTGAACAAGGTTATATAGGGATATAAGAGCCACGCTGAATCAGACAAAGGCCTGTCCAGCCCAGGATTGGTTCCCAGAGTTCCACCACAGCTTATGATCACTTTGATTTGTTTCCTTCAAAGTGCAACCTTTTAATCAGACATTCCAACTGTTAAAAATGCACATTCCATTTGTTTGTTTCTTTTAATAATCTATTTGCACATATTTCATCCATCTTTAGCGGCTAGAGAGAGGCTGTGAAACAGCAGTAGGAAGAATGATGGTCTTATCTTTGAGGCACACACTTTGCATTTCCACAGCAATTCTTCCCTGATGAGTTCAATTTTTTTGTCAAATGGCAGCATACTGGTTATCAAGCTTAGCTTTTTTTAAAGGTCTCATGCCTCTAATGTGATTAATGGGAATGTCTTCTCTTTCTTCTACACACTCCAAAAAGAAAAAAGAAAACAAGTGAGAAAGGTCCTTAGTGCTCTGATAAATGTTGGCACAAAATCCAGCATTTAGTAAAATGCCTTTAAAGCAAAAGCAAAACAACTCCACCACCAAACCCTGTTTGGGCTTCCCCCTTTCTCAGATATGCAGGAGATTATTATAACCTTATTAGAACTAGAGTGCAATCCTATGTAGGAGCATAAGCCTCACTTTGTTAAGTGGGGCTCACCCCCTCATTAGTGTATTTACCATTGCAGCTGCAGGCAGCCATACTTTATTAATGCATTTATACGCCACCTTTCCCTGTCCCGTAGGGAAACCATGGTGGCTTACATGGCCTTCCTCCACTCCTTTTTTCTCTCACAACAGCAACCCAATGCACAGGAGCAGGTGATGAGTCATTGACTACTACGTATAAGAAGAAAAGAATATGAATCACTTTCAAAGCTTCCTTCTGATTTCACCTGTCCGGCAGCGGCGGCAACAGCAGCAGCAGCAAACTAACCTTCCACCTTCCCAACCCAATTGCTGGGAGAAAATGCTGAAATATTTGCAGAGCTTGTTTCTCCTGCTAACATTTCCCTTTAAAAGAATTAGCCATGTCCTTTCTCTCTTCTCCCTGCTTATTGTTCTTATTCATCAAACTGCATGCAAATCAGACTATAGTGAATTTAGCTTACACTTGTCATGTTTATGTAAATACATTTTTTCAAAGCTGGTTTACACGTTAACCTCATTGATATGGCTGCTGGCTGCTTCCCATTATATATGTCAGGGGTGAGCAACCTGAAGTCCTAGGGCCACAGGTGGGCAGTCTAATTTCATGCAGTATTCGGCATGATTTCAAAAGCTGTCTGAAAGTGATCTGTTTTGATGCCTGGGAAGAGTGATCCATTCCTTTCCCAGCAGCCTCCTCAGTGGGAAGCAAGAGGAAAAGAGGAAAGGAAGAAAGAAAGAAGAGGGGATTGGAGAAAATGAGAGTAGCTGGATCCAGATGATGGTGGGGCTCACTTCTCACAAGAAGCCATGATGATTTTTTGCCCTTGTTGGTCTGTTGTCTCATTCAGACCACAGTTGCAGCTTTTCTGCATGGGACCTTCAGTTTCCTGAAACCACAGAGAGAATCGGTGACCTGTTCTAAGAATTCCATGCTTCACCACAGCTTCTCTGATTGTCTGAACCATTGTTAGCATGGAAATACCAGAGTCCTGTGGAAAAAGCTGCCACAGGAGTGGTCACGCAGCCATCCATTCTCTGCTACCCTCAGCTCCCTAGCAACACCTATGTCATCACCCACTTTATTCTTATTGGCTAAGGAATAGGACTGCTTCCTTTTGGAAACAGAGAGAAAGTACAGAGGGGGATCATGGAAAAAGTGTTTTTTATGATGTAATAAATTTATTAAAATTATTTTGGAGGCTGGAGTGGCTAGGAAGTGTTGCAAGGATGCAGGTATCAAGCTACAATTGGTGAATTATGGACAACTCATAAAGAGGCTCTATTTTTTGTTGTTCAGTTGTGATAACCAACACTGGATTATCTT